TTAAATAAAACATTAAAACTAAATAAAAATAAAAATAAGAAAAAAAAAAAATATATTTAAAATTTAAAAAATTTGCAAATATCAAACAATTTTTATATATTAAGAAATAAAATACTTAGTATTTATTTGAAATTGATAATTATTCTTTAATATAAAATAAAAACAATAACATATGTATTTTATATATAATAAATATTAATAATTTATGAAAAAAGAAAAAAAAAAGGATTAAGATTTTAAAAATATAATATTAAATGAAAACATATAAATATTTATATTGAAAAATATTAAAATTATATTTCATATTTACCTTATTTATAATAAATATATAATAAAAATATATTTTTTTTTTATAAACTTATTTATAATAAATTATATATATATATATATATATTATATTATATTATATTATATTATATTATATTTAAATTATAGGTTTGAAAAATATGAAATAAATAATATTCTTATTTAAATAATAATTTAATTTGTTAAAATTAAAGTATTAAATATTAATTTTAATATGAAAATTTTATAATGAATATTTTTAAAATATAAAAAGATATTTAAAACGATAAAAATTGATAGAACAAATAAAAAAATTAAATTTGTTATTAATCTAATATAATAAAAAAATTTAAAAAAATAAAAAAAAAAATAAGTTATTTAAATAATAAAAATAAATAAATTTAAATGTTTTTACTTATTAAAATATAAATATAAAAATTAAATAAAATATATATAAATAAATTTATATATGTATTTTATATATATTAATTAATAAATATTTTTATATTTATAAATTTAAATTACTAATAATTATTTTATTTGTTATTTAAAAACATTACTATATTTTATATTAAAAAAATGATATATATTTTAAAATTAATTAATTCAAAAAAATATTAATATAATTATTATATTCAAATAGATTTTTTTTTCTTTTTAAATATATTTCTATAAAAATATAAAAAAAAAATTTAATTATTTTCATTAATATTCTTCTTCATCATCAATAACATATTTAGTATGATCTTTTTTATTAAATTCTTTTTTTATTGTATCAATATTGAGATCCTTAAGTTATTTAGATTTTTCTTTTTTATCACATTATTCCAAAAAATCGGTAATCTACATATTGATTTTTTTTAAAATATTCATCATATCTTTATAATTTTATTAATTAGTTAAACTATTGCAAATTCCTTTTAGTTATTCTATATTTTTAATAATATTTACAATTTATTATTATCTTTCTTTAAAATTTTAAGTCAAATTTAAATTATACAAAATATCCTTAATTTCTTTCGAAGAATGTTTCATTTAATTTTTATTTTAATTTTTACTATAGAACCCATTTTCTAATTAGAATTCATCAGTTTGAACTTCTATGATTTTTTATTTTACATCTTATAATAACTTAATAATAATTTAGAGTTAATCCACTTGCAAATATTATTACATATAGTATTAGATTTCGGATTAATCATCCAATATAGATAATTTATTTTCACATTTTTTTTCATATATTCTGTAAGTTAAGGCTTCGTTTATGGACAAGTTTTGACATGTTTATAAAAGAATTATTAAACAGAGAGATATTAATATTACTTATTTCATAGTTTGTTTATATTGATGTATTTTTTATTTTTGTTTTGTTTTTTAATTAAAAAAAAAATTTATGGTATTTATATTTCGTTTTATAAATATGAAAATTTCAAAACGTTAAATATATTTTTAAACAAAAAAAAAGTAGTTAAAACTGATTTGATTTTATTTTACACATAAATTTGTAAGAAAAGAAAATCAGATGTATATATAAATATTTATTTTTTAAATAAAGCTAATAAAATATTTATAGTAACTTTAGATTATAAAATTAAATATTATAAATAGTATACATTTTTTATATTGAAAAAAATTAAATATATATTTTTAATATTAATTTTAATTAAAAATATTAATTGCTTGAATAAAAAAAAAACTGTTTATATATATATTTTTTTTGATATATAAACTAAAATGATAAAAACATAAAATATAAAATTATTTTCTGTGTTTTAAAATAAATTTCTACTTTTTTTAATTTAAAACTATGAAATTAAAATATTACTTATTTTTTAATAAATTTAATAATGTTTTTTTATTTTATATAATTTAAAAATTGATTTTTTATTCAATATAAAAATTAATACTTTAATATTGTTTTTAGATTGAATATCCTATTTTTACAAAATAAATAATGTTTATTAGATATTTAATATTTTTATTTTAAAAATATATTATTAATATTTATTTTGATAAGCATTTTCTATTTTATTTTATTTTGATAAAAGAAACCCTTGTAACTTAATATTATCTAATTATGTAAATTAAAACTAGTTTGACCTTTGTTTGAATTCAATTTGATGTATATTATAACTTATTAAATGCATTAATAAATCACATTTACTATGAATAATTAATTTAGAATTACTAAATAATAAAGAAATACATTATTTTTTGATTAAAATTTAAAATTGATTTAATATTATTTTTTTAATGAATTTTTTATATAAAATTAAAATAATTTTGATTCTATTTTTACTTTTTTTTTCAAGTAAAAATATTTCCTTTTTTTATAAAAAAAATAAAATAAATTATTGATATTTTTTTTTTAATTTAATAAAATCTTATAATCATGAGATAAATAAATCTTATTAAATATATAAAAATCAAATATTTTATTTATTTTGATAAATTAGTTTATTTATATAAAAAAAATTGTAATTAAAAAATCTTAATTTTTTTAAAAAATCATATTTTATTTAATAATTTTCTATTTTTATCATTTAATTAAATATATATTAAATCTAAAACAAAAATATATTAAATCTAAAATAAAATATAAATACATTAAATACAAATTAAAAATTATTTTTTATAATTTTTAAAAAGAATATTACTTTTTTAAGAACCTTTTTTATTAAAAATTAATAATTAATAGAAAAAATATAATATTTTATATGGTATTTGGTAATTATTTTAGCTAATAAGAATGCTTAATATAAATGTATTTATTAAATGTATAAAAGTAGTTTTATTAAATAATTTTTAAAAATATAAAAGAATAATAATTTATTCTAAAAAGTATTTGATTTTAATTTAATTGATAAATAAAATCCTAAATATATTTATTATATAAAAACTTTAGAAATATTTTTTAACAATATTTATAATATAATATTATAAATAAAATTAATACATTTGAACTCTATATAGATATTATTAATTTAGAAATGAATATTAAATTAAAATTTATTAAAGGGCTTAAATATCGATGTTATAATTTAGTTAGTAATCATTATTTATATAATAGACTAATATAGATAAAAATTAATAATTATTGAAAACTTAGAAATATTTGCTTTTAAAAATGTTAAAGTTTAAAAGGGAAGATAAACAAAATAAATTTAAATAGTTAAAAAATTAATTAAACTTTGAATACTATTTTATTAAAACTAAAAAAAAAAAAAAATATAATAAAATCCTAAAATAATAATAATTAAAAAAAATTACAATAAGAAATTAAAAATAAAAATGGAATCATTTTAAATTGGTAATGAATATATAGAAAATAAAGAAGAAAAAGATTCTCGAACAATAAATAAAACATTAAAAGTGAAATATTTAGCCACAGTATCATATATTGGAAAAAATTATAGTGGTTTTTAAACCCAAGCCAATGACAAAAAATATTTTTCAATCCAAGATTCATTAGAAAAAGCATTAAAAAAAATAACTAAAGACCCTAATTAAACTATAAGATCTTCCAGCAGAACCGACTAAGGAGTAAACGCAATCGCCCACCCAATAATGTTTACAATAGAATATAATAATGATTAAAAGATAATGGATTTAGAAACGATTAAAATAGCATTTAATCATGGTTTATATAAAACAAACGACAAAATAAGTATTTAAGATGTATATTATGTTCCTCTAGAATAATTTGATGTGAAAAAAAGCGCTTTAAAGAAGGAATATCATTATTATATAGAGGCCAATTTATAAGAATATTAATATAATATATTCTAAAATGAAAAATAAGTTTTTTCATTACCAGAAAAAATTGATGAGGAAAAATTAAAAAAAGCCTTAAGTTTTTATGTAGGCACCCACAATTTTTAAAACTTCACAATAAAAGCGGCTCATATAAAGTTTTTTGAATAATATGCAAGAAAAATAGACTCTATAGATGTATTTAATTACTAACATCCGTTTTTAGAAAATGCTTAATGTTTTAAAATTGTTCTTATTGGAAAATCCTTCCTTGCATATTAAATTAGGTTCATGATTGGCGAAGCAGTTAAATTCGTTAGAGGGTTAACTTCTGAAGAATAGTTTATGTAATTGCTTGATCCTGTTAAACATTTGACGTCAGTTGAAGTGCATTTGAACAATAGAACTAGGGCGCCACCGAAAGGGCTTTTTTTAATGAATGTTTAGTATCCAAGTGAGTTATATTCAAAGAATATTTAGGATTTTTATTAGATGTGAAATATATATATATATTATGTTAATAAATTTTTATTAAATGTTTTTTTATTTTTTAATTTTGATTTGTTTAATAAAAAATTAAAGTTGTTTTTTTATAAAATAATATTTATTTTTTTTAATTTGTAATATATATGAATATGATTTTAATTTAATATAATTTTGTTTAAATAAAAAATATATTATTATTAAGAAATAATAAATGTTTTTCATAAAAATAAAAAAAACTATATTGTAAAAAAAATATAAATAGTCCCAAAAATTTAAATAATATATTTAATAATAAATATTATATTTATATAATATTATAATAAAAAAGAATACATTAATAAAAGCTTATGTTATAATTTTAAGATAATATATTTAGAAATAAATATAAAAATGTATATCCTAAATTATTAATCTAACAAAAAAATAATGAAAATAAAATATATATATATAATCTTAATTAAAAAAAATAATAATAATCAATTAATATTTGCATTTTCATCATTACAGATATTAACTAATTTATTTTAATCCCTTAAACTATTTTCCTCTTCTCCACCTTCTTTCGTTATTTTTTTTAAAACATATTTCTTTTACAAAGCTGTATTCATCTTTTATTACAACTGTAATTAAGGATTAAAATATTCATCTTTAAGTTTTGTCCTATTCATAAATTATATTTCAGTTTAATCTTCTGGATTAACAGGTTAAGTGGGTAATACCGGATATTAACTCAAATTTAATGTTTTATTCTAACTCCATGCTATATAATGAATTGTACATAAAGTTCTAGGACCCCAAGGACCTTTTGTAAAATTAGAAGCAAATCTAGCACCACAATATCTACACCAATCCTATATTTATATATTTTAATTATTTTAAAATATTTTTGTTAAATGTATTTATATATAAAATTTGTTAAAATAAAAAAAAAATTATTTATAATAAAAAAAAAAAAATTAAATAAATAAATAATAATATATAAATATATATATATATATATATTTTTATATTTTTTTTACACTTGGATAATTACTATAATCAAAATTTATTACAGGTGGAATTAAGAAGTCTTCATAAGTATAAATAATTTTATTTTTATCTTTTTTGATGTCATTATTATTTTCATTAATTAATTCAACATTATTTAAAGAACTAGTATTTATTTTAGTTTATATTATTTTGTTATTATTATTTTTAATAACTAATTATAATTATGATTGTTTTTTTTTATCATTTTTTTCAATTATTTTAATATCTTTTTTTGTTTAAATTTTATTAGGAATAAGCTAGTTTTTATCTAATGAACGTGTTATTCTTATAACATTTTAATTATTTTTTTCACTAACTTAAATATTTGGAATATTATTCTTAGAATTTTTATTTTAATTTTATTATCTTGTTAAATGCTAATTATTATCTCTAAAATTAATATCTTTATTATTATTATTATTATTATTATTATTATTATTATTATTATTATCTCTATTATTATTATTTAGTTAAATTTATACTTTATTTATATTAGTATTTCCATTAACTTTTTATTTTTTATCAATTTAATTATCTATTAATTCATTTTTTTCTTATTTTCTTTATTGTTATTTACCCCCATTAATACTTTATTTAAATTCTAGTTAAGAATGATCTTAACAAATCATCAATTTTTTAGTCAATCTATGTAGTTTTTTATCTCCAAAGCATTTTAAATGAAAAGATTTAGGACATCTTACACACTAACAAATAGCTTAAGAATCTCCCGATTCTGAACATTGGGCACAATAATGAAGAGAACATCTAAATTTTTTTCTATTTTAGTCTATAAATTTAAATAAAGGGAAATCTTTTAAACAATTTAAATGATAAAATTTATTGCAGTTTGCAATTGAGCACTTTACTAATTCTTCGTTTTCAATATTTTCTTATTATTATTATGTTGTTTTTTTTAATTTTTTTATTCATTATTGTTTGAATATAAGCTTTTTGTCTTACAAATAAAACATATGGCTTAATTACTTTTACAGTCTTTACATATAAAAGTCACATTTATTAATCTTTTTAGTCTTTCTTCATCCATATGGGATTCATTTGGGAATATTACAGTATTTTCGTCCATTCCATTTACATTAATATAACCTTACTCAACTTTTTCTTTACATTATTAATGGAAACTTCTTTTACAATAAGAAGAACAGAAAACTGTACATTTTTATTTATCACAATAATAACATAGTTTTTTTAATAAATCTTCATTTTTAGGTTAATTATTATTATTTGAGTCTTTTTTTTCTTTTTTCTAATTCTAAATTGTTTTTTCTTAAACAATTTATTCATTTGATTAATAATCATTATCAGAGTAATTATTATCATAATATAATTCATCATTTTCATTTATATTATCTTTTAGTTAATATAAAATAATAGATATTCATAAAAATAATATATATATTTACTAGTTTATTTTGAATTAATAACAATATCTTAATAATTAGATATATCTAAATCTTAAAGCGTAATTTTTTTAAATCTTCTCGAAGGTCTTCCTTCTTTAATTTCATTAATACATCTATTGGCTATATCAATATATTTATTATGAAAATCTTTACTTTAACTAATTTTATTGAGAATTTCATTGACATTTTTTTCATCGTCTGCATTATAACTCATGAAATTTAATTTATTTGAAATTAAATCATTTACAAATTCACAAATTTTAAAAAAAAACCTTTTTTATAAATCTAAATCATTCCCAAAAAATTTAAGTTTTTAATCGAATTCTTTTAAAGTTAATAAAGTCTTACTTTCTTAGTCTTTTAAAATTTTATTCCAGAAATTCGGATCGTCAATTTTTAAATCTTAGTCTGTTTTATTTGAAACAAATGACCCTTTAGAGAAACTATAATTCCCTTTAATCACTGAATACTAAGCTATTCGGGTATTGTTTTTTAATATTTAATCAATGTCATCTTCAAAGAATTAGTTTGATTTTTTTTATTCTTCTTCTTCGTTCATTAGCCCCAAAATACCTCTTTTTAGTAAACTCTCGATTTCCGCTTTCCCCATTTTCTTTGATAGGTCTTATTCTTTAGTTGCCGCAGATTTAAATTCTCCTCCCATGAAAATAGCCTAGTCTAAACCTAATTTTTTAGCCGCTCTTTCAAACATTTCGGCTTCATATGTTTTTTAGTAATAAATCTATAAACCATTACTTCTTGAGTTTATCCGATTCTATGAGCTCTAGCGGTCGCCTAGACGTCATTTTATGGATTCCAGTCCGAATCAAAAATAATGACTATATTAGCGGATGTTAGATTAATTCCCAGACCACCTGCTTTTGTAGAAAGTAGAAAAACGTCTCTTTTTTTATGTGGATCATTGAATCTGTCAATTGCATTTTGACGGTCTTTTGATTTGATTGAACCATCAATTTTTTCATATTTAAATTATTTATATCTGAAATATTCTTCCAGTATTTATAATATTTAAACAAATTGGGAAAAAATAAGTATTTTTTTGCCTTCCTATTTATATTTCTATACTAGTTTGTCTAATAGTATCATTTTCCCAGAAACTTCGATTATTTTAGAAATCTTTCTTCATGAGTTTATAGATTTTGGGTAATTTCGTATTCTATTTCTTTATAAGAAAAGGATGATTGCAACATTTTCGAAGTTACATTTCTAAATTATTTAATGATGTATTCATTACTGTTGTAGAGAATTATTTCTATAACATGGACTTATTTCTTTCGTATATTGCTCGATATATAGTTTTTTATATATTAGTCATTTCAATGTCTGTAATAGTTTCTTAAAGAGGAGGTATACTATTATTTATATTATTTATATTAATATATATGTATAATATACCTGTCTTCAACATCTTCTTTCATACGCCTGAGTAAATATGGCTTTATTTTTTATTGAAGATTATCAACTTGTTATTAACTTTGGAGTTCTCCGAAATTCTCTTTGAATTCTTTCAAACTAGCGAATTTAGTAGGTTCAATATAATTTAATAAAGTCCACAATTCTTCTGTATTATTTTATATTGGAGTACCTATATATTTTTTTTATTTATTTAAAAATAAATGAATATATTTTTATAGATATATATGAAAATACCAGTTAAAAGTAATGTTCTTTTACAAGGTAATCTTTTCAAAGCTTAAAGTATTTTCGCGTTTTAATTTTTAAGTTTATGTGCTTCATCAACAACAATAAACTAAAAAGGAATATTAATCAAAAAATTATTTATATCACTTAAAAAAACTTCATTAGTAGTAATAAGTACTTAAAACTTATAAATTTCAGTTGACTACAGAACTGTCCCTTTAGTGGAAATATCAGTATAAAACCACTCAAAACTTCTACAAGACTCCCTTCCAGGCTATCCTGCATTATCATAATATAAAACTCCATTTAAATTAGTCCAATCTTCAACTGTTCTTTTCCAATGTTCTAGTGTGCTTAAAGGTGCTATAATAAGAAAAGGTCCTCTTACGTTTTCGAAAGTATATAAATGATTAATAAAAGCGATACTCTATATAGTTTTTCCCAAACCCATTTCATCTGCTAAAATTACGTTTCTTTTACTATACCAAGACTCTATCATCCAGTTTAGAGATTCTAATTGGTAATATCTGAGGAGTTTACGTTATTTATATATAGGTTAGTTTTTCACTGTATATTAAAAAGGATCCCTTTAGGTTCCGACGTCGTAAAAATAAAGCTTGTTTTTGAGATCTTGGAGACCTTGTGGACATAATTTCTTCTTTTTTTTTGGATTGTTTTCAATTTCTAATAAAGTCTGGTGACGCTTTAATTAGGCTTGGAGTATCTACCGAGAGTCTTTGTCCAAAGCACGATTATTGGTTCGATATTCGTTAATTTTCTAGGGGTTTTGGAATACACTTTCATGCTCCCATGTTGAATATATATAGGAAAGACATTTCCATTTGACACGATATAGGACATCGATGTCTTTTAAAAAAGATAAGTTTTCAATTTCTGTGTCGTTTAAATAAATAAAATTGTCAATTTCAATTTCGTATAAGGAATTTTCGTCTCTTAACCAATTGAAGGAAAATTGGCCTGGATTAAATTTTTCTATTTCTTCGATAGTTAGGTCTTATATTGCACCTTTTTTACGACAGTTACGAACTTATTGGATTTATTGGTCAACTAATTTTTTAATTTTTTCGTCTTTTTAGATTTCTATTTGTATTTTGTTTGATTATGATAATATAGAAGAAGTTTCTTCTTATTCTTTTTCATTATTATTCTTATTATTCTCATTGTTATTATTATTTTCATTGTTATTTTCATTATTATTTTCATTGTTATTATTACTTTCATTATTTTCTTCTTCTATTTCCATTTTATCATCACTTTAAATATCTAATTCTAGGAGATATTTATTTGCATTTATAAAAATATTCATTATATTTATTATTTATTCTTCATGTTTTAAATGAATGTCTTTTAATGTTATATTATTTTATATTTCTTCTCTATTTTTTCTGCAAAAAGCTTTATTTCTTATATTAAAATTTCGTTATTTTAAGAATTATTTTATATTTTATCTTAAATTTAAATTAATTCTTTTGTTAAATAAATAGTTTCTTTTTGCATTTTTTTTTTTTCAGATTATGCTATTTTCTCACTTTCTATTCTTTTCTCTTCTTCTTATTTTTTTATATACTCAGGATCTTATTATTATTAATAGTCTTTTAAAAGAATTTCATATTTCATCTTTTCTATTTAATACCATTCTTTATATAAAACTATTGCACACTATAAATATTTTTTTATAAAAAAAATAATATATTATTACTTCTCTTAATGTATCACATAAAATTATTTCATCTCTATCTTAATCTTTAAAAAATTTTCTACAATTTTTAAATATATATCCAAAATCATTAAAAAAAGATTAAAAATTTTTATAATAATCAAGATATAGTCTATTAATAAGAGTTCCTAAATCCATTGGATTTTAAATTTTTTTCCTATAGTCTTTATATTCATAATCATAATCTGGATTTATTGGTTACATAAAATGTATTCCATAATGCACATCATCTTTGGTAAAATTAAGTAGTTTTTAGACTAAAGTAACTAGATTTTCACTCCATTTACCTTTTATTTCGTTAGCTTTTTTAGGATGGATTACTGAGAAAATTTCCGTGCATTAAATTATTCGGTCTACTTCAGTAAATTTTATATCAAAATATCTTTCATTTTCTATCATTTCTTAATCAAAATCCTTTTTATTTTATTTTTATTTATTTTTTTAAAAAAATAAAATAAAATAAAATAAATAATATAAATAAAATTAATTTTATTTACTCCATTTTATAATTTTTCCTCAAAACTTTTAATAAATCTATTAAGCCTGTTTTTACCTGTTTTATCATCTCCAGTGACCTCTTTTTCAGTTAGCCATTCACATTTTAAATATGAATAATCTCTATATTTAACTAAGTATGAATATTCAGATGTTCCGTCTTCATTTTTGAGTTCTTTTCGCCAAATAATTTGATCTATTTCTGGAAAAAATATGCTTCCAGGTTATTGGCCATAATATTCGTCTTTGAAATCTGCAGCGTCTTCCTGCTCTGCTAAAAGAATTTATTAATCAACCTTTCTTTCTTCTTATATTATATTTTAAATTCCATTTTTTGATTTTTCTCTGGTACGGCGTTTTTATATAGCACTATTTTATAATTTTTAAATAAAAAAAGTATAGTTTGATATGTATTAATTATTTATTTATTATATATATGTTTTTTATTTTGTATTTATTTGTTTATTTTTTTATATGATTTGTGGTATTTTATTTATTTTTTACTCTCCGTATTCATCATCTTGTAGGCCTGATTTTAATGGATTATTTTCTGGTTCTTTATTGTATTTGTTTCTAATAAATATAGTATATATTTGTTTATGTGTAAAATATTTATAAATAATGTTTTATATTTTTTTTTTATATTTTTTTGTTTTTTTGTTTTTTTTTTTGATGAAGATAAAACGAAAACTAAAAAAAAAAAAACAATAAAAAAAAACAAAAAAATAAGTAAAAATAATTTAAATTTTTAGAGACATTAATATACAAAAATATATAATAAAAATTCAAAAAAATCTTACTTTTGTCTAGTTTAACCTCTTCTTAAGTTACGAGAATAGCGTTCCCCTTCCGAATAGTTATCGTCTTCTGAAAAATTAAGGTTTTAATTTGATTGTTAAGATTGTGACATAGATAAATTTTTCTTTCTTTATATTTTTTTTGTTTTTTGTTTTGTTTTGTTTTGTTTTATTTTTTTTATTTTTATTTTTTTTATTTTAATTTGTATATATAAATTTATATATATATGTTTTCCTTTCTTTTATATATTTTTTTCTCTTCTTTAATTAAATACAAAATTCATACCCGCCTTCTAATATATAAATATATCTTAATATAGTAATCATTATTTATATATAAACATATAAATAACATTTCATCTTTATTTTATATAATTATTTTTATATATTTTAATTTAATTATTTTTTTTAAAAAAATATTTTATTTATTTAAAAATCCCTTTTTTATTGGATATGAAATCTCTTATGATTTTTTTTTTTAAATCTAAGCATTTTATTTGAATTTTTTTTTTTTGATTTTTCATTTTAATTTATTTCTCCCAAAATATAAAATGGCTCATTTTTATATATTTATAATAATAATTTTAATATTTATTTTTATAGAAATTTGCAATTACAATATTAGTATTTTATTTAAGAGTTTCTCTATTAGAATTTTACAAAGTTTAAAATAAGTTTTTATTTTAATTTTTATTTTTATTTTTGTTTTTTTATTTTTATTATTTTTTATTTATATTAAATATATTCTCTCGTTCTTATTGTATTTTATTGTTAGAAAACAATATATAAAATATCTTCATGTTTCTAATTTTTAATAATTTAAATTTTTATTTTTTCGCGAAAATCAAAAACAAATTAAATTTTATAACAATAATAAAATTAAAGGAAAAAAAATTAAAAAATTAAAAATAAAAATATTTATTTATAAATAAGTTTTTTTATCATAATTGTAATTTATTTATATTTATATTTATTATATTAAAATATTTAATATTTTAATTAAAAAAAAATTATTACATATAATTAAATATTTATTTTTAATAAAAAAAAAAATGAAGACAATTATATTAATTATTTCTATATATAAATTAATTTTGTAATATTTCATAAAATATTTTAAATTTTTAATTTTTTTTTATTTTTAAATTATAAAAATACAAATATAAAATTAACAAAAAAAAAATATATAAATATAAATTTAATTTATATTAAATTAATTTTCTTTCATTCATTTTATTCATTCATATTATTCGAAATATTTAAATTTTTTTAAAGTAAATTAGAATTAGATAAACTATTTATACAAGCCTTAATTACATTATTTTCATTTAAAAAATTATTATTATCACCATCATTATTGCTATTTTCATTATTTTCATATTATACATTATTTATTTCATTATTTTAAATTTATAGTTGTTTCTTTAAACCTATATTTTATAATAAAATATTTATTTGTTTCATTTATTTTTCATTTTCATCAAATAAACATTAATTTAATCCACTTAAAAAAGGATTATTTTATTATTAATTATCACAGTTATAAGCCAAAGAACTTAATAAACCTAAGCAATTATATATTATATTAATAAGATTTCCATACCCATTCGTATTTTAATTTTACTAATAATTTTTCATATATTCATCACCTTTTTCTTAAAATATGTTCTATTCTTCTTTTATTATAAGATTTTAAACATCTGAGGAAATATTTTCCTTTTTTTGTTTATAAAAAAAATAAATAATTATATATACAAAAAGTTTTTATTTAATAAACTTCTATATTTTTATAACTAATTGATTTTATTTCATTTATTAATCCTTTCTCGTTTTATTAATTATCTAAATGTTTCTCTATTTATAAAAGTGGAATTTATAGAATTTAACTTAAATTATTTGTTATTTATTTTTCATCTATTTTTTATTTGTATATCAAGAAAAAAAAAAATGTATTTTTAATATAATACCATAATGATTTATTCCTCTTAATCTAAATTTAGTAATCACATGTTTAAGTGCGTTATCAATTAAGTTTATTTATATGCCTGTCCAACCATATTTTTAATAAAAAGATTCATTTATTTCTTATGGATTTTTTTATGCTAAATCATTAAATTCTTGTAATTATTAAATTAATTTAGTTTTTCTTTTAAAATAATAAATCATTTAAAAAAATTGTTTTTATAAAATACCTGTCCAATAGTTTAATTAAAAATGCCATAGAAAAAAAATCTAAATCTTGAACAATAGAGGAAGCTTGTTATTAGTTATTTTTAATATCATTCATATTTTCATTTAAAGTTAAATCATCTTATTTGTTTTTCATTTTATCCGAACATTATTATTATTGTAAAAATTATTAATTATTTATATTTTTTTCTTCATTATTAATTCCTTAAAAATTATGAGTAAAATCACTAATTATGAAAAAAAAAATACATATATTTATATATATATTTTAAATATATTATTAAATATATATATATATATATATATATATTATATACATTTTTAAATTATTACTTTTATATATATATATTTAAATTATTACTTTGTTAATTAAATATCTTTTATTTTATGCACGCCTAAATCATGCGTTAAAAATCTTACTGTTGACTATTCTTTATTAGTTAAAATTGTTCCTATGTGAAAATGCTTACACAAAGGATGTATTGCAATTACCACTTATCCTACATTAAAAGGTTAAATAGATAGTACTTAATCACTTAAACTATCTTTAAATTTAATATTTGTAAGATATTATTACTTTTTTTTATTAAATTTTTTTATTTAATTTTTTTTATTTAAATACTGAATTTTATAAATATTCTCTAACAATTTTTCGATATATATCTAATTTTCTTTATTCATTTTTTATATATTAATTCGAAAATCTTGTTGGACGACCCATAGCTTATCGAATTATTACCCATTCGAATTATTTTAAATTAGAAATATTTCCTAAATCTACTTTTTTAAGCATTTCTTTAAATTCATTATATTAAAAAAATGGTTTATCTATTGTACTATAAAAAAATTCACTTTGAAAATTTTATAAACACTTTTTTTTTTGTATATAAAATATATTTATATATAAGCTTATTATTTCTGTATACTTTTTCATTTATTAATTCTTAAATAGTTTATTAAAATTTATTTTTTTTCGTGTTATTTGCAGTACAATTTTTAGATATTTTTTCAATATATAAAACTCTTTATTCAGAAATATTTGGTATATTTATTAAATATTTCCCTTAAACATATTTTGGTTTTATTTTATTTTATTATTCAAATGTTTTGTTTTATATTTTTATAGATTAGTTATTTGGATTAATATTTTCTAAATTAAGTTCTTATTTTTTTTGATTTTTATTATAGTTTTTAAATTAATCATTATAAGCTTTCTATTTAAAAAAAATAAAAATAAAAATTAAATTTAATAAAGATAAAATAAATCTAATCATAAAAAAAAATTAAAAATTAATTTCTTTTTTTATATAAACCTTTATATTATTCATATCATTATTTTTTTAAGTTTTTTATTAAGTTTATTATTATTATTCTAAACCGGCATATTAATCTTCTAAAACAGTACTTAATAATTAAGGCGTAAGTTATTAACCTGTTTATATTATCAGTTTCAGGAAATTTTTATTCTATATATAATTTTTTTATAAACAAAAAAAAATCGAAAATTAATATACTTTCAAATATAAACTTATTATATTTATCAAAGATCTTTAATATCCTTTTGTATTTAATTCATTTTTTAATTATTATAATTATTTTAATTCTGAATCTTTAAAATCTAGAAGTATTTTTTAAAATTATTTATTTGATTTTTGCTGAATATGTATTTTTTTTATTTGAAAATAAATAAAATTGTACATTAAATAAATATTTCTAACTCTTCGAAACTCCATTTTTAACCCATATCAATTTTTTCTAATAAAAAAGAAGAATATATATAAATTTATTATTATTTTATATATTAATAGATTATTTAATAATTAATAAAATACTTGATTATTCTAATTCTTATATTAAATTTGTATAATCCATATTTTTATTTTTAAATTATTTTTAAGTTGAATATTTATTATATTTATTTTTAAATATTTTTTTGGTTAAATTTTTATACTTTTAAAAATAAATATATATATTTGAAAAAAAAAAAAAAATCATAATAAATGTAAATATATAAAAATCAATTATTAGAATTTCTTTTTAAAGTATAAAGAAATTATATTATTAAAAAATAATAAAATTACTTATTCTTAATTTTTTTTATTTCTCCTGTATTTTTTTAAAAAACTCAATAAAAAAAAAAGGGCCATATCCTTTTTTTTTATAAGTTTTTATTTTTTTTGTTTAAAAAAAAAAAAAATAGAACAAAATAAATAAAATTATTAACAAATAATATATATTAATATTGATTTTTCATAAAATTTCATTTTGATTTTCTATAAAAGCTAAAATTTTATACAATTCATTAATAATTTCTTAATCTTAATCATATTATATTAACAAAAAATTCGAAATTTCGAAAAAATTATGTTTTTCAAAAAAAAATTTATCACATACTTAATTTTTTTATTTGACACATATATATAAGCATTTCAAAAGTAATAAAATACCTTCATTTTTAAAAAGTTTATAATTTTCAATTAATATTTCAAGAATCAAATTAAAAATATTTTCATTTTCGATAAAATATATTAATTTCTACTCATTTAATTCTTATAAATAATTATTTAAACACCACAGACATTCCTCTTTAACAGAAATAGAACTTCTTTTCAAAATACCACTTATTTTTTTAAATATAAAATAATTTTCTAATATATCTATAGTTTCTTGACCATTAGATATTATATTAGATAAAGCATATAAAGTATCACATTTAACAGTTTCATTTTCACTTTCAAGCATAAAAATAAACGAAAGTATAAAATTATTTGACATTATTATCTTAAATATATAATTATAAATATAAAATTATATATATATATATATATATATATATATATATATTAATATATATATATTAATATATATATATTTACTTAAATACAATCTTTGTTTAGTAGTGATAATTATTTATAAAAAAATCCTAAACTCTGTTATATTACGATATTATTTTCGAATTAAAATGCTTTTTCAAATATTTTTTCTAAAATATTTAGGAATTATTTTTATTAGAAAAATTCTGGGTTGATTATATTATCATCATTTCTGAAAAGATATTTTAAAGATTATATTATTATTAAAATGATTTGCTCCTATTATATTTATAATCCAATTTCAATAAAAGTATCAAATATTTTTATTATATTATTAAATTAATCAACTTTTAAAAATTAATTATATTAAAAAAAATTTAGACAGTTTTTCAAAATAATAATAATATCATTTTAATTTAGGCTTTTTTATCTTTATTAATTTTTTTTAAAAAAATAAAATAAAATAAAATAATAATAATAATATTTTATATATTTATAATTTAAAAAGTTTAATTACTAGTTAATATTTTAAATAGTTTAATTTAAATAATAAATTATATTTTTTCTATCAATTATTTATTTGCTTCTTTTTTATTTGCTACTATATTAAATATACAATGCCAAACCTTTTTATTTTAAAATATAAAAAGAAATTTATAATTTATATATTTTATTTTATTTCATTTTTTAAATAAGTATATTAATTTACTGCAAAATAAATATTACTATTTTATTTTTCCTTTAACATGCCTATAAGAACATCAAAAATTTCCAATTCAATTAACCTATCACTAATAAAGTAATTTTTACTTTCTATAGAATTTAAATTAATAAGAATCCACAATAAATTATATTTTGTATCTTCTGTAAGATTTTTTCTTTTAAGAATTTAATAAAGCGTATGATAAAAAATACACTCATTTATTTTAATTGCATATATTTATAATTATTAAGTATTTACTAAATAATTTTATAATAATTCGTCTGTTAATTTATCTAGTTATGCTATTTCTTAAGGTTCATTATAATGTATTTAATTAATTTATACAATGAGATCTAAAAATCTTTATTATTCGTAAGTTTACTCTATTTCTCCTTTTAAATTTTTATTTTGCTAATAAATTTATTCTATTTGTTCTTAATCTATATTTTGATTTTAATCGTATATTTATATTTATCTTATTTTTTATATTATTTAATTGTTTTTCTTTTTTCGAATTTCTTATCTGTATATTCTTTTTTTATTAATTATTTGATTTTTTAAACTTGATATAAGAATATTTTCTTCTTATAAACAATTATTTTTCATTTTTTTTTATATATTTATAAATATATATAAATATGTATTATTAATATAAATATTAAACGCGGTTAATTTTTTTGAAAAAGAAATATGTAAATTTATAATAGGGTAAAAATTATTTTTTTAGAAAATAAAAAATTAATATATAATTTTTTTAAAAAAAATAATAATAATTAAAATAAAAAATGAATAACATACAAAAATATCTATTAAAATTTAAATTTCTTAATTATTTATTAATGAGTAATTCAAAAAAATAAATCTAAAAAAAATCAGTATATACAATAATAATACTTTACTCATTCGTACACACTTCTAAAAACAAACGGTTTACTCCCAAAAAAAGCATAAGAGGAAAGCATATTTTAATAACAGGCGCCGGAAGTGGAATAGGTCGTTAAATGTCTATCCTTTTAGCTAAACTAGGAGCTAAAATCTCAATATTAGACTTAAATATTCAAGGTGCCGAATAAACTTAGTAAATAATCACCTAATTAGGCTATTAAGACCAAACTAAAGCATTTAAATGTGATGTATCTGACATAAACGATGTCAAAACGCATTCTAATAAGCTTAAAACATCTACGGAAGTGTCGATATTCTCATAAACAACGCCGGGATAGTATCTGGTAAGAAAATATTAGAAGTAAGCGATAAATAAATTGAGTAAACAATTGCAGTAAACACCATTTCGCACACATATACAGTAAGATAAGTTTTACCGTAAATGCTTTAAAGAAATTCAGGACATATAGTCACAATAGCATCTGTTGCAGGACATATTGGAGTTGCCGGTTTAGCTGATTATTGCGCAAGCAAATTTGGGGCAGTCGGTTTTGATGAAAGTATTAGAATGGAAATGCTAAAATTAGGAAAGAATATAAAAACAACGTGTATTTGTCCATATTTTATTAATACTGGAATGTTTGATGGAGCTAAAAGTAAATTCCCGTTACTTTTACCAATTTTAGAGGAAAAATGGGCATCATAAAGGATTGTAAATGCAATTTTATAAGAGGAAAAAGTAGTTATTATGCCATGGTTTTTAAATATTTGTGTGACTCTTAAAAGCATTATGCCAGTAGGGGTTATGGATAGGATTTTGGACTTTTTCGGTAGTAATTGTAGTATGGATAATTTTAAAGGAAGGTAGGCGTGATTTTTTATTTTTAAAATTTATTTATTATAATTTTTTTAAATTATTATATATATATAAATATATATTATTATAAGAAATTGTGTAATTTTTTATATATTTTTATTAAAAAGAATTATGTTATTTTTTTAGATATAAAAAAATTGATATTATGTTTTTAAATAAATATTATTAAAGAAAAAAATATTATATATATATATATATATATATATATATATATATATATATATATATATAATTACTTTTTATAAAAGAATAATAATTTAAAAATTTAAAGTATATAAACATTTAATTAAATATTTTCTTTTTAATTATAAATTAATAAGATATTTTTTTAAAAATAATTATTTAATGAAAATATTTTTATTAATCATTTCTACATCAATTTTATTACTTTAAGTATCTAATTGCTTATCTCTTGAATAAGCATTAAACTATAATATATTATAAAAAACTTGTGAAGATAAGGAATAAATATTAATAGACTAAAGTGAAATTTTATTCTATTCAAACAACTATATGACCTAATAAACATTAAAATAATATTTTAACTTACTTTAAGATGTAAAGAAAGAAATACAAAGCGCTGCCTAATTTTAAAGTAATTTGACTGGAAATTTTTATAATAAGAAAGAACTTATAGATTAAAATATAAAACTTTATTAAGAATCTGAAGTCAAATAGTTATAAGAATATTTAAAGAATTATTAAAATTTGGCTGATAGAAATACTGAAATTGTTAATATTATTTAAAAAATTGATTCTTTAGTTGGAATTCATACTAGTCTTTAAGGTTAATTATCGTATGAATAATTTTAAGATATTCTTCTTTCTAAATCTTCATAAATTAGTAATTTCCTTAAAAATTGTGATAAGAAAAAAGAAAAAATTCAAAAAAGTATAACTATTGAATATATAGATGATATAAATGAAAAGAAAATTGATAAAAATATAAAAAAAAGTATTAAAATATATTTCGATGAAAAATGATATATAATTATTTTATATTTTATTATAAGAAATACATAAACTAATATTTTTATAATTTTAATTAAAAAATATTATTAAAATAAATTTTATTTTTATACAAATTATTAAAAAATATATATTAGAAATATATAATAATTAATATATAATTTAATTATATTCAGAATTTTATTATTATATAATAAAAATAATATACATATAAATAAAACAAATAAAAAATATAAAATAGATTCATTTAAATACAAAATACATAATAAATGTATTTTAGTGTATATACAAATAATAACACTTCATAAAATAATTTCTATATGCCTATAAGAAATAAAAATTAAATAAAATTCTTTATATTAAGCCCAATAACACCATAAATCTACCGAATAAAACTCAGTATATTAACTAATCGAATAAATAAATTAACAAATGGAGATTTAACATTATAAAGGAAAATATATTAAGCTTCTTTAAAAGCGGAATAATTATTTTAATTAAAAGAATATGCATACAACAAAGTAATTTTTTTTTTTTTTACAAAAATGATTAAATAAAATTTATATAAAGAAAAAAGAAATGGAAAATAAAAAAATAGAAGTTGATGAAATACCTTTTACACATCCAATAGGTTAAAAAGAAATGTTAAAATGTTAAATTTCTAAATAAAATCTATATGATTTAAATCGAGAAAGATCGGAGAATATAAAAAGTGAATTTTTTTAAGAAAAAATGAGAAAAAAATATGAAGAAGAGTTATTAGTGAATAATTTAAAAATAAATTGTTTAAATATAAAACATTAAAAATAAATAGGAAAATAAAAATAATAAATATTTATATTTTAAAAGTAAAAGAAAATATAAGAAAAATAATAAAAATAACTGGAGTGGGAAAATGAGTAGATAAAACACAAACAAAATTTAATTAAAAAATTAGAGGAAATTGAATAAGAAAAAATAAAAAAATTAAATTAAACGAAAAATAAGTCTTTATCAGCATTATAATAATTGGATTATTGCAAAAGTAATAATGCAGAAAAATATAAAGAAATGTTTAGAAATAAAAGTATTCATAAAATGAATAAATATCATTAGGATTAATAAAAAATACTTTAAAATAATTAATTATTAATATAATTAGATATAGATAAATATGGAAAAACTGTAATAAAACCAAAAGAAATATGAATAAATAAATGTATATATATAACAATATATATATATTAAAAAAAAGAAAGATATATATATATATATATATATATATATATATATATTATATATATATATATATATATATATATATATATATATATATATATATTTATTATTTTTTTTATTTTATATATTTTATATTATTTTTATAATTATATATTTTTTAAAAAATTTTTAATAATCTTTTATGTTTTATACAGAAAAAAATAAATTATTTTTATATTTATTATATTTAATTAATTTTAGAAAAATTTTATATAATAAAAAATATTTAGAAAGATAAATAAGTCAATATATTTTCAGTTAATTTATTATTCTTTCCAATAACTATATAAATCACCATTTAACATATTTTAAACACTTTCAATAAATTAATATTCATTTGAAAGCAAAGGAGGTTTGTAATCTTTTATTTCCTCCAAAGGGTCACTTTTATTATGTAATTAAGGAATAATATTAAAATCAGGCAAATATTAATTTAAGCTTTTGTTAGCTTCAGTTGTAAACTTTATAAATTGAGGCGGATTTTTTTTAATTTTCATTAAAGCAGTTTTATTTTTATTATAATCTTTTAATATATTAATAGCAATTTTTTTGAAAATTTCTTTATCTCCTTGACATTATTTCATAGCTTCATATAATTATTTTCCAATTTTGGTTTAAAATTATTATTATTATTATTATTGTTATTATTATTATTATTATTATTATTATTATTATTGTTAATTATGGCTTTTTTATGATTCATTTATTTCGTTTTTTTAAAAATATACAGATCTTCTATTTGTACTATTACTTTGTTTTAATCTTAATTGTTTTTGGGAAATATTGCTTCTTATTTTTACGTTTTAAATTTCTTTTTAGAAACTTTGTAAATTCTCTGCAACTTTATCAATATTATGTATATTTATAGTTTTATGTTTTTAAAAGATTTTTTTTTTTTTAATTTCTTCTTGTCTTTTCCTTAAATCTTTTGCCTGCATTTCTAATCGTTTTTTATAAGAATAAAATTCGATTTCTTAATCAACAGGAGCCTATTATTCCTCATCACTATTAGATTGCTGTGAATCCCCTTATTTTTTATCTTTAACGTTTTATTTTTGGTTTTTTTCTTGGTTTTTTTAATCCTACTTTTCTTAAGTATTCTCATTTTAATCTTAATTGCTTTTAGTTGATTGTAAAAATGTCTAATAATCTATATATTCTACTTTCGATTTGTATATATTTAATCTATCGTTATTTTAAATATATAAATATAAATAATAAAATACCTATGATTTATTAATTCTATTGAATTAACTTTTTATTCCGGATAAGGATATTTAAGTAGATTTCTACCTATATTTTTCCATAATTAGGTTTTTGACTTTAATTCTGAATTTTTAATTTTTTATAGATAATTTAAATGATTTTTTTTTATATTACCTAAATTATCATTGGTGGGTTCATTTGTTATATTTTTAGAATTTTATTCTAAGTTTATTCCTTGGTCGAATTTCATATTTTCTTTTAGGCTTGGATTTTATTGAAATAATTCCTCAATTTATTATTATAAATTTTAAAATTAGTTAATATAATCTTATTTGTTTTTATTGTTTTTTTTTTTTTTAAACAAAAAATAAAATAAAAAAATTATTTATATTTTTAATTTAACTTTCATCTTTATTATCATCAATAGAAGAATTAAATGAATTATCAGTATTTAAAGAGTCTTAAGAAGAAAATTCAATTAAATTATTATCTTTTTCTTCTGCGCTTAAACCATTATGAGCATTTTAAGTAATTTATTTAAAAAGTTCAGACATTTTAATTTATTTTATTAAAAAAATGATATATATATATATATTTATAAAATTTATTTAATTAAAATAAAATTTTTACAATAACATAATTTTGTTTTATTCCTTTTTTTTAAAAAAATAAAATAATTAAATTTACAAAAAAAAAAAAATAATAAAAAATTTATTTAAAAACAAAAATAAAACAAATAAACTATTTTTTTTATTTTTTTATCATTCTTCATCTTATTATTTATTTAATCTTAAAGATCTACGTACCCATCCATATGTAGGTTCTTTAGTAATCTAACTTTTAGTATAAAATTTAGCTTTTAATAAGGTAAGTACATATTTTTTAGTATCCAGTTAATTGTGTGTAATTTCTTTAATATCTAATCCAAGTATATTTTTTCTTTTATTAAATTTATTTGAACTATACATTTTTTTCTCTTCTTCATTTTGATTTTCTTATTGAGAAAATAATTAATAATTATCAACATATATTGCTTTTAATGATTATTATTATTCACTTTCTAATTATGTAGTTTATGTAGTTTATTCTTCTTTGTGTAGGTTTTCATGTGATTCTTCTAGACTAGTTATTATATCTTATATTTTTATTAAAGAGCTTTATATTTCTTCTGATAATTTATCGAATTCTGTTTTTTCCTAATTTTTATTACTATTATCTTATTAATTATTTATTTATATTTGTTATTCATAATTGTTTATTTACATTTATTCTTACTAATTATTTATTTATTATTCTTGTTATTAATTTTATTATGTTTCTTATTCAATTGTATCATATTATTATTATGTTTATTAACTATTATTTATTTTAGTTTCTTACTCTAAATTTTGTTAAGTTTCTTATTCTAAATTTTATTAAGTTTCTTATTCTATATTTTATTAAGTTTCTTATTCTAAATTTTATTAAGTTTCTTATTCTATATTTTATTTAGTTTCTTACTCTAAATTTTGTTAAGTTTCTTATTCTAAATTTTGTTAAGTTTCTTATCCTAAATTTTATTAAGTTTCTTATTCTATATTTTGTTAAGTTTCTTATTCTATATTTTGTTAAGTTTCTTACTCTAAATTTTGTTAAGTTTCTTACTCTAAATTTTGTTAAGTCTCTTATTCTATATTTTGTTAAGTTTCTTATTCTATATTTTGTTAAGTTTCTTACTCTAAATTTTGTTAAGTTTCTTCTTTTTAAGCAGATTCCTAATTCTCATCTACAACAATTATACTTTCAGCAATTGTATTTAAATATCTTTATTCAATAATTTAATTTGCCTTTATATTTTTTGTTTTGTTATTTATTTAACTTTTATTGATATTTTTTTTTTTTTTTTTTTTTTTTTCGTTTATTTATATAACAAAAAATTTATTATTATTAATAAAAAAAAATGGTTACATTAATAAATTGTAGTGCATTTTTTTTCCATTCTTGCTTGAAATCAAAATTAAGTAGAAATAATATCCATAATTATTAATTAAGTTTTATTTTATTTATTCCATCAATCATTATTCCTTTAAATATTGTTATATTACATTCATTTAATATATTTATTATTTATTATCGAATTTCTTATTTATTTGTTATTTCTTAATGCTATTTTAAATAACAATAAAAAAATTACTAAAAATATATAATGAAAAATTACCAAATATTTCATATATAACTTTTCAATTTAATTTTCTATTTATTGAATTATGAGATTATTATTGTTATTTTATTTGTATTAATTATTTCGAGTTAAATTAATATTTGTTGAAAATGTTTATTTACAAGACAAAAAGAAATTACTTTCTTATTATTTTTTTATTAAATTCAGGCTCCTATTTATACAGAATTGCATTGCTTATTTTGGATATTTTCGTAATGAATTTTCAAAGCTTTTTAAATGTGCATTTTGTTATTATCTTTTATATGAAAATTCAGAAAAAAATGATTTCTACATACTTTGTTCTCTTTATTTTTAAAATTAAAAATAATCTTGTATTATTATACATTTAATTCATTTTTTATGTTTTTTACATACTTTTACTTTTTCCATCTTTCTAGTTTTTCAGCCATTTATTGAGATTTTTAAACATCAAACTTTTTTATTGGCTTTGTAAATTGTAAAATTTTATAATTTCGTAAATATTTTTGGAAATTATGAGTTTCTTTACTTTTTTTTTATAAATATAAAAGTATTTAATTTTTCGTTTTTATATTAATAATATTTTACGAAGAAATACAATTTTTTAAGTCATTCATTTTTTATATTGTTTTTATTCTATTTTTTTTATATGTTTTAAATTTTTTAAAAAATAGCAAAAATATATATTTTATTTAATTTTCAATTTAATTTGAATTAAATTTTAACATTAAAATTTTATTTTATAAATATTAGAGAATTAATATATAAATCATTTTTATTTTTTAAAAATAATTTATAAAATAATATTATAGATAAAAAATACAAAAATACAAATTAAAGTATCATAATAAATATTAATATAAATTATATTATTATTAAAAATAATATATATAGATATATTTATATACATATTTTTATTTATATATATATATATATTTATATATTTATCCATAATAAAATTATTATTAATTTCAAAGATATTTTATTTATATTAATCAAAATAAATTATTTTTAAATTTTTTATTTTTTATTATTTGCAAACATATTTATTATAATTTTATTTGAATATTTATTATTATTTTATATATTTATTATTTTATATTTTTTATATATTTTAAAGAAACATAGCATTTTAAATAATAATTATTTCAAAATATTATTTATTTATAACTTTAAATTAAATAATAGTTATGAAATTAAAATTATTTACATTATTGTAATATATTTTATTCAAATAAAATATTTATTTTAAATTAATTAAAATTATATTCAAATATATATTAAAAATAAAATATATTTATATATATATATAATATAATGAAAATTAGAACATAAAAAAACGATATATATTATGAAGATTAATCTTAAAATGTTTGCAAAACACATTATAATTATGAAGGCCTATAAATGCACAATTTAATTAAAGAATATTTAAATTGGGATTAAGAATATGAAGAAAAATCTAAAATAAATATGGACAAATACTTAGAGAATTAAGAAATTATTTAAAAATTAAAAGAACAGCAATTAATAGTAGAAGAATAGAGGTAATGTATTAATGCAAACATTAATTAATACTAAGAAAATGAATAATAGTAATCTTAAAAAAAACGTTTATTTAATTAAATTTCAGAAGAAAAAGCTTAAATTGAATATGAAAATATGCAATTATAATTATTAAAAACCATAAAGAATAAAAAGAAATAATTGAAATAAAAAAAAGTTAACTTCAATCATTAAACAAGAATAAAAAATGAAATAAATAATAATATAAATTAAAAATTTTAAAAAAATTAAACAATTTAACAATAGAATTAAGATGAAAAAAAAACATAATAAAAATAATTTAATTTAGAGTATTTTGAAAATTTATATGAATAAGGATTAGAAAGAAAAAAATAATGGGATGAAATTAGAAAGAATGTCTAGTATTTAAAATCTTAAGAATAATTAAATGAATGTAGCTTTAAACCTTAAATTACAAAAAAAGCTTAATAATTATCGACTTAAAAGTTTATATTAATTAAATAATAAAATATATATATATATATATATATATATATATATATATAAATATATTTTTAGTGAGAATTATATATGTATATAAGACAAAACTGTTATGCATAAAAAAAGAATGGATTTTTTAAAAAATAAACGATAGTAAGAATTATAAATGTAAGAAAATTAAGAATGTACTTTTTAACCTAAAATTAATGAAGAATTTAAAAGTCAAAATTAATCATAAATGAGTTTGAGTTTATTTGATAGATAAATTGAATGGCAAAAAAGAATTTAAGAAAAAAACGATGAAAGAAGGAATATGTAATACTATTCATAAATAAAATAATCATAATTTAGTTCAAGTTAGGTCTTAAAAAGAAATAATTCATTTAAATCTCCATCCTGCATGTAAAAAAATAATTTAAGATCATGCTTTGAAGGAAATTTTGTTAATTCAATAAATAAATAATATTATATATATATATATATAGTATATATAAATATATATATATATATATATTTTTAATATTTCTTTTATTCATATAATTTTATTTATATATTTTAATTATTTTTTTTGTAGATGAATATAAAAAAGAAAAAGAATATATATAAAATTCATAAGATAATCAATAAAATTTAAAAATTATTTAAAACCAAGAAAATAGTAGTAGTAATGAGAATTAAAATAAAAAATATTTATTTTAAAATAATTTTAATAATAATAATAATATCAATAAAAATTTAATTTACTAAATTTAATAAACTTCTAAAGAAATAGAATAGGAAAAATAAGATTAAGTTAACGAATTAAATAATTAATATAAGTATTGTAAAAGTTAAAAAAATTAATAATCTTTATTTATTCCTCCATAAAAAGCAAATATTATTTTAGATAAAGTTATTGTTAAAAATAATTAGTATACATATTATGATGAAGGTGATTAAGAAAAAGAAGAGTTTGAACAAATGAAAAAATTATTTGTTAATTAATTTGGAAGTTAAGATAATTATTAATTTTCTAAAACAAGTAAAATAAATATTATATTTAATTTAAATAAATATAAAATAGATTAGACTTGCTGATATTAAATTTAAAAAAAAAATTATAATAAAACATATAATTTATTAGATTTTTTTTTTAATTTCTTTTTGCATTTTTTTTTTTTTAAGGAAATAATTACTATTTATAATTTTTTTTTATATACATTAAAAAAATAATAAATTATATAAATTTTATTTAAATAAATATTATTATCTTATATATTTAATCAATCCATTATAATATAATGATATATAAATGCTTTCTTTTTTTTAAAAAAAAAAATATTAAAATAATATTTTAAATTGTTGATAATATTATATCTCAATAATTTCCATTAATTAAATTATTTGAGTATATAGGAAAAGTATTAAATTAAGATTCTTATAAAAATAAAATAAAATAAAATAAAATAAGAATTAATATAGGTAACTCTATTAAAACAAGTTTTTTTTTTAACAAAAAAATATACGAAAAAAATGAATAATTTATTTTATTCTAATTATGATAAATTTAAAAAAATATAAGAAATGAGATTTTCTTAATTTAAAGAAGTCAAAAATGATTTTTAAAAAGCTTAATAAATAATAACATAAATTAAAAAGAAAATATGATAAAGTACTTATTTCAATAAAAAAATTAATACTTTCCAATAAGATTAATAAATATGTTGAAAATACTGTTTATATATAATATTAATCCAAAAATATTAATAGGTAAATATATCTAAAGAATAATGAACAATATTTTCTCAGAATAAATTGACATAAAACAAAAGGAAATATTAATAACAAATCACAGACATAAAGACAGATATATAATAGTAATAAGAATATAGTTAACTCAAAAAACTAATAGTCCGTTTTATTTATGCATAAGACAGAAATTAAATAATATATACATATTGTATTATATAAGTCATATATATATGATATATATTTTGTTAAAATATTTTTACATATTTTACATATAAATATAATTATTTACCTGGAAAATTAGAAATACCAGAAGAAATTACGAATAATAATAAAATTAAAAGAATAAATTACAGATATTGAGTTTATAATTAAATGTTAATAAAAAAAAATATTTAATAAAATAAATAAATCCTAAATATTATATATATATATAGTAAAATAGATATAATAAAAAAATATATGAATTTCAATATTATTTTTTTTTTTTTTTTTTGAAAAAAAAAAAAAAAAAACTAAATAAATAAATCCTATTATAATAATAATCATTACTCAGCATTTTTAATTTTTTCTTAGATCTGTATTTTTTCCCATTCCTTTATGTTATTTTCACAATTAGTAATCATAAACTTATATTCTTCCCCAACAAATTTAATAAAAACATTATATAAAGGCAAAACAATAACTTTCGAAAAATTACTTTCCTATTTAGCAATAATCTCTAACTAATCCAATCCTAATAAATAAGGAGTAACTGGAATTCCCAATTTTTTCTCCTCTTCTACTTATTAAGTAAATTCTCTACAAATTCTAAAAGACCATTCTTTTGATAAATCATTAATTTTTGTAGGTCCTGTAAGATCAGCTACATGTACCACAAATCCACACATAAGCTTTTTATCAGCTTCATTTTTTACTAATTAAACAAAAAAATAATTATAAAATATATTTTTTTGCTTATATACTTAAATCTATTCTTTCTTGGCTTGCACAAGCTAATTTAATTTCAAAGGCTTGAGTTAAGTCTTTGTGTTTTTTCATATCAGTCGATAAAATATTAGAAATGCAGAATTTTCTCATATTTTGAGTTTCTTCCGCAGTTAAATTTACCAAAAAATTATTTTAATATAAAAGCTTGAATAATGAAGACGCATGATGGTTTTCTAAAACAGACTCATCATTATATTTTATTGCTATTTTTGATTATGTAGCAATTTCGAATGTGTTTGTATGTCCTGTATGGGATACATCATGTCCCATTGCAGAAAATAATAGTGTGAATTATTCTATAGTGTCCAAATATTAATCAAGTAATTTTTAATTTAAGAAATAGAATATAGCATGTGAAACTTAAATTTTTTTTTTTTTTTTTTTTCGTATTTTTTTTTACCTGCTAATGCATGTTGAAAATTATGAAATGGATTGTTGTTTTTATCGTACTCTTTTATACATTAATGCATAAATTTATAAAATACATCTTTTTCTATGTTCATTTATTTAACATATCCTTTTAGATCAAACATACACCATATATATCTTATTTTATCTTCTATGTTTTCAATTTTATCGTAAGGAAAATCCCAAGATTGCAATAAATTTTAATCAGAAGGACTTACTTATTATAATGAATATTTAGAAACTATATGTTATTATTATTTTTTTTTAAAAAAAATATATATATAAAGCTATAATATTATATTTTTTTTTATTACTTTAATTATTAAATGGTGTAGTTTCTATTCTATCAAAACTTTATTAAAATTTAGTGAGAAGTTTTTACATGTTTGATTTAAATTTTCTATTTTTTTTATTTTATTTTTTTCATATTATTTAATAATTTTTATGTAAAATATACATAGGTAAATCTGTATGATAATATTCTATTACATAAGAATCTTTAAAAAAATCATCTGTAATCTTTATTTATTTATATTTATATTTATTTTTTTATAAAAACTAATTAATTTACATTAAAAGATTCCTGTATTTTATATTCAATTGCCCTATCTTGTAAAATATTTAATAAATCTTAAGGTTTTAAATATTATTCTAAATTATAGTGTTCTATTAATTAAGAACACATTTTTTCGATTTCTTAATAGATATTTTTTTTGCTTTTACCATTTTTAGAAACATAAAAATCATCTTAATTACTATTTTTTTATTTTTATTTTTTATAAAAAAAAATTATTTACTTTATATAATTAAATAAAATTAAATATGAATCAATTTAATAAAATTAATTTCTCAAAGGAATTATATCTACTTAATATTATTTAGCATCTACATTTCCAAAATTTAATTCTCCTTTTTCTAATTCATTTATCACTTTTTTTATTAATTTTTTATTTTCTTCTTCAAAAATAACATCATCAATACCTAATAGTTAACCCATTTAATGATTTTCTGGAATATAAATGAAACTATTATTTTTTAATAAAAAAATTAATTATTAAATAATTTTAAAAAAATACTCCAAGTTAGATGGAAGTGGTAAAGGTTAATAAATTAATTATCTTTTTTTATTAAACAAAAAGAAAATACTTTCAGGAGTTTTTAATTCAATGATTTGCATTATAAATTCTTTCATACTATAATTAGAAATTAATCCAGTGAAATATCTCCAGTATTTAGTTAACTTTTTTTTTTTGTTTAAAAAAAAAAAAAACATATTTATATTTTTTATTTTTACTCTTTCCACAAATGTAAAAATATTTAGCTTAAATTACTCTAATTATATTATATATTAAACTTTTTTAGAATCTCCTATAGGGATATTAATAAAACCATTGTTTATTATAACATTCCATTAGTTCTATTTTGTAATTTCTTTAAATAGTTAATCATTACAATGCAATATTTTACTATTTATAAAATAAATAAATATATTTTTATTTCTAAATATATATACCATTCGCATTTTAAATTAAAAGATAATATATCAGCTAAAATGTTTTTAAAAATTAAATGAGAATATCTAATATATTAAAACTTTATCATATGCAAAGTTGAAAGTATATTTTCTTTCATTGATTTATTGCTAAAAAGGTCTTTAACTGCATCATAAAGGAAATTAAAAATCATAAAATAACTTTTAGCTGGTAATTTTAAAAATTAAGAAAATTTTTAGTCTTCAACTAATTCAAAAATAAAGAAAACACTTTCTTGTAGTTTTATAAAAAAGAACTTTTTAGGACCAAAAATCAATGTAAAATTTTATAAATCAGGTCTTTCTTATGTATTATCTACTATTTCGTTTTTGTTTTCACCGATTAAAAATTAATTTAACTCTTCTATTGCATTTTTTAATGTTTGGAATGGAATCTATTTTTAAAAAAAAAATTAATTATGTAAATTATTTTTTTATGTAGAGAAAATAATTTTTAGATTTTTTTTTTATTAATTATTGTTTAAGATAAGAAGTTATTTTTTTATATATTTTTATTTTATTTATTTTTTAATATTTTATATTAATTTATTTTACATTCAAATTATCATTAGTAGAAAAGTATTATCCTTAATTATTTTACAATTAATAAATTACAGTAAAATTGTTAGATTTAAAAGCTGATTACGATATTATTTTAAGCAAATTTAATATTTTTTATTTATTTATTTTTTAGTTTAAAATATATATTCTTTATTAATCAAGTTCTTTTATTGTTTCCTATATTGAAATAAAAATATTTTAAATGAATTTTTATTTTGTTATATTTATACTTTGAATATTTTAATAGTTTTTTATATTTATTCAATTATATTTTATTCAACATCAAAATTATGTATTGAATTTTTGATTTAAGGAAAACTAAAAGAATAAATATATAAAAAAATTAAAGTAAGTTTCTTTATATTTTATAGAAAAAAAATCTATAAAAATAAATAAAGTACATTTATTATTATTAAGGATAATATTCATTAATAATATTTAAATTATTAAGTTTCTATTTTACTAAATTAAGTTCACTTAATTCTTATAAAGTTAAGTTTATTTTTTAATTATTCGATATTTAATCTAAGCTTTTATTCAGTTACCTTAATAGGTCTAACATATTATTTTTATTTTGTTAAGAATTTTAATTGTTTTTATTAATCATTTATATGAAAAAAATATATAATATTTAGATAAAATAATATACTAAAATTAATTATATATATGATATAAGATTTTTTAAAATTGAATGATAAATATATTAAAATAAAATTTTATGAATAAAATAATATAAAATAATGATACTTTGAAATTATTATAAACTATTAATATTAAATAATTTTATTAATAAAATAATTTATGATAAAATATTATGTAATATGATACTTCAAAATTATTAATAAATATTAAAATTTTTATTTCCTTTATAATTTATAATAATATTAGATAAAATATTTATTTTATTAATTAAAATAAAATATATGATTTTTTTTATATGTGTATAAATAAATTAAAAATATTATTTATTTATGTTAATTTTATAAAATTAAGATTTTTTATGTTTTATTAGTATATAATTTGTTTTTATTAATTATCTTTTACTTTAAACAATATTATATTTTTTTAAAAAGTATTCAGTTTGATTCTGCTATGTTTGATGCCATTGAAATAAACAATTGCCTTTAAGTTAAATTAAAAAAATTATTATTTGTTTTATTAGTTAAACTTTTATTAAATAGTCACAGATATTTATATAATTATAATATTATGTAAATAAATAAAAAAAATTAACTTTTTTAAATAAATATTTAATGATTATAGACTGGTTATTATTAGAAATATTAATTTTATTAGTTTTTATCTACAAAAGTATTAATTTGATATTATATAACAATTTAATAACATTATAAATTATATAAATTTTAATATAAATATTATTTAATATAAATGGAATTATTAAATTCCATTAACATTATTATTATTAATTAAATAATTTTAAATTTTAGTTATTTGGACTAATTATTCAAATTTCCTTTTATTATTAATAAATTACTTATTGAAGTTATTATATCTATATTTAATAGCTTTATTTTATTTCTAAAATAAATTATTATTAAATATTTTATTAAGTTTGATAATTATTTTATTTATATGAGTTTTATTATTAATTAATAGAATTTTAAGGTTATTACAATGTTTATTCTTATACTTTATTATATTCATAAACTTTTACTTAAGGTATTTTTTCTCATTGAAAAGTCTGCTCTGAATTTTTCGTTTATTTAGATTATATTATTATTTGTTTATAATTATTATAATTGTTTTTAATTTTAATTCTTTAGTAATTATTATTAGTTTTTGTTTTTTAATTAATTAATTATATTAGTTTTAAAATTTTAATTATTATTATTTATGAATTTCTTTTTAATTTTAATAATTTATAAATATTTATTCTAAAAATAAAAAATCTATATTAATATGATAAATGTATTAAAATAAAAAAATAACTTATTCTTATTAAATTTTAATCTAAAAAATTAAATATTTTTAAATATAAAATTTATATTTATTATTTTATATATATTTTTATTATTTTCAAACTTGAATTTATGTAAAAATAGGAATATTTAATTAAATTTTTCTTAAATATAAGAAATAGTATTTACCCAATATTATTTTATTTATTTACCATCTTCATTATCATCAACAGAATTAATATTATTTTTAATAATATTAATTATTTCTTATATTTCTTCAAATTAAAACTATATATATTAAAATATATATATTTTAAAATAAAATATATATATATATATATATATATATATATATATGTTTTTATTACTTCAAATTATTAAGCAAAAATTAAAAATCTATTTAGTATATAGACATAAACACCACAATTTTTACCACCTTACTTTAATAAAATCTATCCAATTTTAATAGCTTTTTGTAGACATTTTTTAACTTAATTCTGATCTTTCTTTTTATATATTTTAATGAATATTTTATAAAAAAATTATAAAAAAAAATATTAAAATACGATTTGTATTCCATAATAAAGATGAGAACAACTAAGAGTAGTAATAATTTAATCTTATTTTTTCAATAATTTAGCAGAATAAGATGATAAATTACTACTTAAAGTATCAAAGTTTTCATCACTTAAACAATTAATTCTATTAAAAATTCCAATAAAAATATTCATAATTTCTAATTTATCATTAACATCGCTTAAATCATCTTAATAAATAATTAAACTTTAGCAAACTATTTCATAAGTAAATTCATCTAACTTTAATTTTTAAATATATAAATTAAATATATTTTAAATACATATATAATATACTTCTTTTTAATCATCAAATTCATTAATAATCAATAATAATTAAGTATATAACTTAAGTGCTAATTTAGGCATTTCCGATTATAATTCTTCAATAAGTTCTTTAATAATTTTGAATATATTTTAGTAATTAAGTACTTAATTTTATGCTTAAATGGAATAGACATATCTTGTAAAATTACATATAGCAAAAATAATACTCGGGTAAGTATAAACTTATCTTTTTATTTTACCATTTTTAAACTTAATAAGGAAAAGCTTAATAATATTCCAATATTATTAACAATCTTAATTATGTATAAGATGCACCATTCTTGCTAGCAAAGATTATTCAAGTTCAAATTCATAATCTTCTATTTCTACATAATCATCTTATTATTCTAACATAGGAGATATAAATAATATAAGTTAATTCGCTAATTCTTCGTTTGAAATTTCTTTTTTGGTAGAAATTACTGTTTGTATGATCTTTTAAGCTACTTATCTTCTTTTAACAAACGATAAATAATTCATTAATTTAGGATATTCGTTCATATTTAAAATTGAAAGAGATAAATTTTCTAGGGGCAAAGTTAAAAATTTAACAATGTTTTTAAAACATTCATCTGTAAAGTCTTAAATTTACTACTTTTGGCATATTAGTACACAACTTTTTAAAATTTAGTTCACACACTCTACGTTTTATAAATAACATTTTAGTGTAAATTTAAGAAAGGCTGCCATCAAATCTAAAATGTTTTAAAACTCATTACTGCTAGTTTTTTCAATCATCTTGTCAATATTTTATTTAAACATGTTGTATATAGAGTCTCCTTTTTATTAAAAGGAAGCTGCAACATCCTTATTATAAATGGCGAATTCTGCTAATCTGTCCATTAAACGTATAAAAATAATTTTAATGTCTACTTTTGGGTCTAAGTTCATCGTACAAACCTGCAACATTAATTATAAAGTATCCAAATGATACTCATCTGGAAAAGAACTTATTATTACGTCAAATAGATATTATTAAGAAATTGCGTCGCTTTAATTTTCTATCAAATCAAGTAATTAAGGAAGTACTTAATTTTTATAAACTTGCAAATTAACACCTTCCAAACTACTTAAACGAAGTATATTTTCGCCACAAAGTTATTTCAAATCGAGTCTTTACTTTTCTTTTTTTTATTTGTTTTTAGTTTTAGCACTCATTCTTACCCAAAGTTTATTCATATCAGCTAAATTTCTCATTATTATATTTATACAATCATTTGTATCACCTCCTTCACTTTTATTATAAAAATTAAATTTATATATTTATATAATTTATATATTTATATATTTATATATATTTATATATTTATATATTTATATATTTATATATTTATATATTCATATATTTATATATACCCATAATATTCTGAATCTTAATCCGGCAATCTATCTTTACACATTTTTAAGAAATAGTATCTTAAAAAAAGTCCTCTTGTTGGATGTTCTACTCCTTTAATCATTTCTAGTAAATCTAAAAGAATTTCCTTTGCGCCAACTTCATGAGTTTGTATATATACAGATCCTACAGTGATTAATAAATACAGTCTTGGTATTAACTTAGATGCATGTTATACAGATTCGTATAAATCCATCATTTTTCTACCTCTTCGGTATTCTTCTTTAAAAAATTATTCCATATTTCTCATTTCATCGAATATTTGCATAAAAAGAATATAATAGTTTTTTGGATTTAGTGATTTTTGGGGTTTAGACCCAAGTTCGTCGAGCATTGATGAAGCGTATTTTAGACCTTCCCGAAGATTTGTTTATTCTAAAGAACGTTTCATGAAATAGGCTTACTCTTTTACTTTTTATCGAGATTTATCTAATAATCTTTCTTGCTCGATGTCTTCCATTATTTTTGTTATTTTTTTATATTTTTTTTTTGAAAAGGATTTTTTATTATGAAAATATATAATTTTTTTTTTGTTTTTTTTATTATTTATTAAAATTTTTTTATATATAAAAAATCTTATCTTTAAGTTTTTTTTGATAAAATATTCATTATATTATTATTATTTTACATTTTCTTTGTATTTAAATAAATTTTATATCAAATATTTTTTTATAATATAAATGAATTGATTAATTTTAATATATTTTTAGTTAATAAAATTAAATATTTTTAAATTATTTAATAAATAAATATATATAATATATATAATATATAAAAAAATTAAAAATATTAACTATAAATATTATCAATTTAAAAAATTTATTAAATATATCCTATAAATACTATATTATATTTCAATTTAAAATAAAATAAAAAAATTCTTTAGAAATAAAAAATAGATAATTTTAAAATAATGAATCAAGAAGTAAAAATATTTATATTTCTTAAAAAAATATCACATTAAACTATTTTAAAAAGTAAATTAAAAGATAAGAAAAACGTCAAAACTTTATAATTAACAAAAATAGTTGTAATAATATTGAAAAATCCTGTGAAAATTATTAAATAATTCCAAAATAAAAAACCGAATAAGATATTTAATTTATAATTTAATGTTTAAAAAATCACTTTATATTTTATAATCTATAAGAATCTTAACTGTAAAAAATAAAACATAATAAATACTTCTTTTTTTTTTTTTACAAAAATAAAATAAAATAGAGAAAAATTAGTATAAGATATGAATTATTGTTATGTAAAAGAAAATGAATATATAATAAAATAAGGAGATAATAATGCATTTACATTTTATATTTTTGAAAAAGGGACTGTCGAAGTTTAAGTAAATGATATAAAAATTAAAATGTTAAAAGAAGGTGATTGCTTTGGAGAATTAGCGTTATTATATAGTGCTCAAAGATCAGCTTCATGTATTGCTTTGGTAAAGAGTTTTTTTTGGATAATAGATCGTATTACATTTAAAAAAGCAGTCGAGTTAATGATTAAACGCGAATATTAATTAAATCGAAAATTTATTGACAAAATGCATTTCTTTTGTATAAAATTAAATAATAATAAATAAAATATTTTTTTTTAAAAAAAAAAGAAAATCTTACTTCTGGTTAAAAAGATTCAATAGCTGGTGCCTTAGTAGATTAAAGGTTTTACAAAGAATAAAACATAGTAAATTAGAATGAATCAGCAAGTTCCTTTTACATAATAAAGGAAGGCGCAGTAAGTGTAATATCAGAAAATAAATAAATACGAATTTTAAAAGCTGGCCAATCTTTTGGAGAAACGGCTCTTTTATAAGGAGTTTAAGTACGAACTATGACCGTAAAAGCAATAGAAAATACTACATGCTTAGCTTTAGGAAGAGATGTTTTGACTTAATTATTAGGGGATAAAGTCGAAGTTATTATTTATAGAAATATTGCAAAATGGACTTTGGAAAAAGGAAAGGGTTTTAAAGATTTGAATAATGATTAGTTAGATAAAATATTAGATATTATGATTATTTAGAGAAGGTATAAAAACGATATAATTTTTTTCAAAAATTCGAAAGTTTCGGAAAATTTTTGTGTGGTTTTGAAAGGAAGCCTTAAGGTATTTTTATATTTTAATATATTTAAATATAATTATGTATACATTTTTTTTTATCATATTTTTATTATTATACTTATTATGATTTTCCTATTCTAAATTTTAAGTTGTAAAAAAGCTTACTGATGATATCATTTTTAAAAAAGGATAAATAGTTGGTGGAGACGAAAATATAATATAAACATGTTCATCTTCTATATATGAAAGTGATTTGATTTGCGAAGAAAACTCGATTGTGGCTTTGATATCTAATCAGCTTTTAATTTAAAATATAGGAGGTACTTTATCTGAAATAATAGCTAAAAATTATTAAATAAATACCTAAATATAATTAAAGGAAAACTAAATATAACAAAATATAAACTTTATATAATTATAGGATCTTTGTGTATTATAAAAGTTAGGAACTGGTTAGTTTGGGAATGTTTATTTAGTAAAAAATAAAAATAATAACTAATTATATGCATTAAAATGTATAAGTAAACATACTGTGGTTTCAATAAATTTAGAATCTCATATAATAGAGGAGAAAAAAGTTATGTAAATAGTAAATAATAATTTCATAATGAGATATTTTAAATGCTTTAAAGATGAATTCAATGTTTATTTTTTGCTAGAATTTATTTAAGGCCAAGAGCTATTTAATGTTATTAGAGATATAGGACTTTTGAGTAGTTGGGATTCTTAATTTTATGTCGGTTCTTTGATTCTAGTAGTTGAATATTTACATTCTTCGAATGTTATTTATAGAGATATTAAGCCTGAGAATATCATGGTTAATTAGAAAGGATATGTAAAACTAATTGATATGGGAACGGCTAAAATATTGAAATAAAATAAAGGAAATATTACAAGAACTTTTACTATTATTGGCACTCCACATTATATGGCTCCTGAAATTATATCGGGAAAGGGTTATAATTATTTAGTAGATTTGTGGTCTATAGGCATATTTTTTTTATTTTTATTTTTTTTTTATTTTATTTTTTTATAGGAGTTTGTCTTTATGAGTTTATGTGTGGGTGTTTACCTTTTGGTGAAGAAGCGGAAGATCCTTATGAAATTTATGAAGAAATTATCAAGAAAAAATTGGTTTTTAATAAATTGATTTAAGATAAAAAAGCTAAAGCTTTAATTGAGTAATTACTAAGTAGAGTTCAAGAAATTAGATTAGGAGGGTCTTTTAATAATTTAAAATAACATAAATTTTTTAGAAATTTAGATTGGGTAGTTTTTAATTTTAATATTTATTAAAATATATTTTTTTTTATTTTAATAAATAGTAAAAATTAAATAATATGGATTATGAAGCACCATATATACCTTAATATAATATAAAATGGAGTATAGATGACATTGAAACTAAGACTGGTAAAAACATTATTGAGTAAATAAAATCAGAAGGATAATTAAAAATAGCTTGTTAATCTTAAGTAATTGATTGGGAACAAGAATTATGAGTATTTTCATAATTTCTTTTATTAAAATTATTTCTAAAATATATATATATATATATTATCATATTATATTTAAATATAAATGTTTTTATAATTTTATTAATAAATTTTTATAAAAGTTATAAAAATTATAATTTTATTTTTATAATTTTTAGTTTAATTAAAATAAATAATATATATATATTTTATTAAAAACATAATAAATATTTATTAAATTTACTATTTTTATATATATAAAAATTAATACTTTTTTTTATTTAATTGAAGTAATATTTTCAATTAAATTAAATATAATTTTTATATAAAAAATATAATATGTTTATTTTTGTTCAAAATATTATAAAAAAATAAATCAACTCTATATGAGAATATCCTTTAATAAATAAAATATATTTAATATAAAAAATAATTACATAATTTTCTTCATTCTACATTACTAGTTGTATAATTATTAGTAGTATATGTATTTCCTGTTTAAGCAACTTATCTTGCTTCATTTAAAATTTTCTAAATATAAGCCTCCCTTTCTTAAGCTGACATTTATTATCCATTTTAATCTTAACCATTAACAACATAAGTATTTTTAGTGATATTTTCAACTACCTGAGGTCTATATTGATTATAAGTAACACTATGACTTTCTCCTACAACATGATTTTCGACTATAGAGTTTGATTTTCCTGATCGTTTTGCTTAATCGTCTGCAAAAGTGTATGTTTGGGGGTATGTTTAATTTTGTAATTATTCATTCATTTACTATTAAGGATAATAATTGGTATAATATTATTAAGTATTTTCATATGATTATTCTGTCATTTTATTTCCACCTCTTTTTACTGCATCTTCTTCTTAATAACTTGAAGTAAAGGCTTAAACTCTTGGCATACTCCTTTTTATTACATTTTCATTAGATTATACTTAAGTTTCTTATTATTAGGCGTTTAAAGGTTATTATTATTATTATTATTCAGTTACGTAAGTATAAGTAGTTGCGTTATTATTACTATTCATAGTTAAAGGAACATATTAACCTACTGAAGTATTTGTAAATTGAGCATAATTTACTTGTTAAGTTGTGTCAAAAGGAACATAATTTACGGAATTTTTACCAGACATTTTAAATTAATCTTCAGCTTACTATTATTTATATATATATACATATAAATATAAAAATATAAATAAATATAATTTTACATTATAATTGACTTATTATTTAACATTAGGAAGTGATGTAGTATAAACATTAGTAGTATAACTAGTTTATACATTACTATCATTTGTAGCTACTCCATATTTTTAAACTGTTTCTCTGCTCATTTTAAGAATAGCTTCAACTCTAGCATCTAAGTCGCTTAAATTGTTCTAAGCAATAGGATATACAGGTTATGTCTATTCTAAAACATAAGTAGGTTATTAAACTTCATATCTAATTGTATTTTAACTTAACGGAGTTTCTAATTATACTATTTGTTATTATTATTAACTAACAATCTCTATAGTACTAATATTTCTCGCAGCATTATTTCTGACCCATTAAGACTCTAATTCTGAGTTTAATTACTCAATAGAAATTCTATCTAATTATTATTCGAGTATCATTTTTTGTAAAATTTAATAGAAATTATTAGAGTATTATAATCTTACTTAGGATAATAAAGAATTTATCTTTTCAGAATTTAGTGTGTATTATTCTTTATTATAACAACTAGCGCTTACATTATCTAAAGTTGAAGCTTCTAAAAGGGTCATTCCCAGTGAAAAAACTTCGTTTTTAGAGGCATCATAAGTGGGGGTTTGGTTAAATCTTTTCAAATGTTCTAATAATTAAGGTGATATATAGCAGTCATCAGTTTATCCCGTTAATAAGAGGGAATAATTGGACATGTTTTACGATTAAATGTACAATTCACCAAGTTTTACTTAACCAATATCGTTTAAGAGCACATTGTAGGGTCTAATATCTCCATGAGTTACATTTTTAGACTTCAAATAGAGGATAGCACTAGCTAGAGATTGCAATAAGTATAGAAGCTCACCTTCAGTGTATGGAATTCTGACTCTTCTCCTTTCGGAAATTTCAGTTTTTAAGTCATTAAAGTAATATTCGTAAAGAAGACATATTTTGTAAAAAGACGAGCAAAATTCGTTGTTTTATTAAGAATTGAAATTCAATAATTTAACTATATTAGGGTGATCTAATAAACTTCTGAATTTTAACTCAGCAACTCGGGTTTGCCATTGTTTTTCATTGTTTGTAGTTTTGGTTATTTCGGCCACTTTTTATTTTGATTGTTTATTTTCTAAAATTTTGATTGTCCCGTAACGGACATCGTTTAAAGATTAGGCTTGGGTAAAGTCTTAAGGGTTATATAATTGTCTGTCCACAATTGATGATTAAGATTAATTGCCCATTTTTTTATTTTAATTAAATTTTTGTTTGGTTTTTTATTTTAGTTTTTATTTAATATAATTAATTGTATATTTATATTTTTATTATTATTTTATTTTCTATATTTAAATTTATTTATTTCTTTTATTTTTATTTAAAGGAAAATTTAAGATAATTTTTTTTTTCAATTTTTAAATTTTAAATATAAATAAATACTTATATTATTTATATTTATAAGCATATTTTTATTTATTTAATTAAAAAATATGATTATATTTATTTATAAATAAAAAAAAAAAATTAATTTAAAAATATAAAATAAATAAAAAATTCAAAGATAAGATATAATAAATTATATAATTTATTTATTATATTAAAATATTTTATGAATCTTACAATAAAAAAAATAACACTAAAATCTTAAATAATATAAATATATAAATAAATATATATATATATATAAAAGAAATCATATAAAATAAATAATACTATCAAAAAAATTAATAAAATAACATAAATGTAAAATAATTCATAAGTTTGTATTGAATAAATAATAGATATATTTTCTTAATTTATAGAAAACATGTGTTAAACTTCTAAAATAATTTTTTCAAAGAAACTTTTTGATGAATGGTAATAAATTAAAAATTTGATGAATCCATTTAATTATGATAATGTTAAAACTTACCTAGCATAATAAAACGAGAAGAACTAACAGAATTTAAAAAATAATTTAAAAATATTAAAAAATTAAAGTTTTCAAACCAATAATTAATAAATACCATACGTAAATATGAAATTATAAAAGGATAATATTTCTTTAAAAACAGTTCCTTTAACATCAATAAAGATAGAAAATATTAGACAAAATAACCATATTAATAATTAAAATTAAATAGAAAATAGAAACAAAAATATATCATATTCATAATAAAAATATAATTCTATAAGAACTGAAATATCATAAAATGAAATATAATAAAATAATAACATATTTTTAAATAGAAACTAATCTTAATCACCTTCTTTAATGGAAACTAAAAATTAGATATTTTTTAATTTAGGAAATTCTGAAGATTATATTAAAATTTTTGATTAAAAATAATAATAAAATTAATTTAATTTTGAAGTATTACAAAAAAATATTAAATTATTATATGATATGATTAGTGCTAATTAATCACTAATTAAATAAGTTGTTTAATATAAATGATTTTAATTTTAATATTATAACTTTAATTTATTGTTAAATAATATTTATTACTTTAAATTGTTTTTATTAAATAAATTTTAATCGATGATATTTTATTTTATATTATTTTATTTAATATATATATAAATATATATATAAATAAATATATAAATATATATATATTTTTTTTTTTTTATATATATAAATATATTTTTTTTTGATTTAATATATTATTTATAATATATTTATTTTTTATTTTTAATTTATTTATTATTATTATTATAATTTGTTAAATAAAATAAAAATTAATTTATTTTTATATTTGATTTTTTTCTTTTAATTAACTTATTAATATTTTTATTTTTCTTAATATAAATCTTTTTATAGTTTCTAATATTTTTTTTATAAAATTTTTATTATTTTTATAAACTATAATAAATTTTTAATTTATAATTTATAATATCAAAAAATATTCTTTTGTTTTACAATATAATTAATTATTTTTTTAATATTTTGTAATTCTGAATAACTATTTTCTTTTTACTCTGATAAACTTAATTCCTTGACTATATGATTTTACATTATCTATTTATTTTATAATTTTTATATTGTTTTACTTATTTTAAATAAATTATCATGAAAATACTTGCCTTTCTAATTTATTTTTTACCCATAAAATAAATATCCTTTTTATTCAATAGATTACATTTCTTCTAAATATATATATATATCAGCCAAAACATATACTTATATTTGTAACTAAAATTATTTTGGCTAGATGATTCAGTCTTTTTTTATAATCTCTACATAAATCTATTATTACCTAATATGCGGATGCAGATTTATATATTCTAGTTATATTAGCCATGTATGAAATATACTTTATACCTTCCTAAAGTGCAAACTTAGAGCCACTTGATTCTATTAAGTATTAATACAGTAGTAGGCCTTTAGTAAAATTTATATTTTAATACAACATTTAAATTTCATTCAACTTTTAATCTTTAGTATTTAACAATTAGATTAATAAAATGTCAATTTATTTTTATTATTCTTCAATTGCCAACAGCAAAATAAATTAACAATCATAGTTGAAAAAGAACATTTATATACATTTAATTTATACTTATTTCCTTATTTTAAACGGCAATAGTTTCTTTATATTTTGAAATATCAGATCAACTTATTTTTTCAGTCATCCACCATTTTTAAGTATAGAAAATTTCGCTTTAAAAAGAGGTTATATGGGTATATGTTTTTTTAATTTTTTTATATTAATGGAAAGTTATTTAATTATTTTTAGTATTCATTTTAGGTTTTTATTTAACGAATTATATTTTATATTTTTTTTTTATTAAATGATTTATGTTTATTATTTTTACAAAAAAATAAATGAAATATTTTTGTTATTTATATAAAAAGAAAAAATATATATTTTTTTTGTGTAAATTTAAATAAATAAAATATTTTAAATACTAAATTTACGTATTATAAATTTACTATTTATTTTATAATTAAATATATAAAAATTTTTTATAGTTTTTTATTTATTAAATAATAATTTTTTAATTATAAAATTGATACTCAAAATTAAAATATGAAAAAAATAAACTAAACAATTTCTAAAATTATATACATATATTTATTATCATTAAAACATTTATACTAATTTTTAATTTAAATAAAATAAAAAGAAAGTTATTAATTAATTATTATTTGTATAATTAAATACTTTCTTTTAATTAATTTACAAATAATTTTAATAAAACCTAAAATATTTTATAAACACTTTTTATATATGGAATTAAACAAAATTATTAAACTGAATTTGATTAAAATTTTGACATAAATAAAAGATTTTGCTATATATTTAATTTATTACACTTTTTTTTTTCTAAAATAACCATATAGTACATGAAATCTATATATTTTACTATTATTACTATGAATACATCGGATATAGGAATATTACTTATCATAGTATTTTGGAAAAAGGATATGTTATTGGAATGACTTTAATTAGTTGCGGTATTTTCTTTTATGCAGTAAATACTATAGGAAGTATATTTTAAGTAAAAGCTTAATAAGAGGCTAAGTTTAGAGAAAATATATATGTTATATTGAATTATATGCATAATACAAAAATTAATAAATTTACATAGTTATAGGTTATTAAGCAGTTGGAATACATTCATAATATGGAAAACAATAATTAAGATTAAGGAGAGGAAATATTAAAATAATTAAGTAAAGGATTAAGAGATAAATTTTTTAATGACTATTTTATAAAAATTATAAATTAAATGAATTTATTTTAGAATTATTTTACATATAAATTAAAAGAAAACCTAAAATAAAATTCAAAAAATATAAAAAGATTGTAATATTAATTAAATAAGGAGTTATTTGACAAACATCATTTTATTTTAAGTGATTCAATTATATAATTTATGATATAGTATAAAAATTAGTTTTAGATTAATAAATTTAAAACAGATAAAAGTACAAAGAAAAAAGTTAAAAATAAAATAAAATAAGATAGAAATAATTTAAAAAAGTTTAAAAAAAATATATATATATTTAAAAAAAAAAAGATAAATATATATTATTAAAAAAAAATATTTTAAAGTTTATTGTTGTTTCTTAAATTTTTATTAAAATAAATAAAGATATAAATAATTTTGTAATTCATAAATAAAATGAATTATGATATAGTTATTAATTAATAAATTTACTTAAATTTTTGTATAATAAATTATTTGTATAAATAAATTATCCATTATATTTTAAACTATTTATTTTTTCATTTTAGTTATAATATTTCCTATTTTTTTATATATAATTTATAAATATTAGTTTTTAATTAAATAACCTAGCTATTTATTTTTGTTTTATAGATAGCAAATAAAAAAAAATAGAATGTTTGCTAATATTTTTTTTTCTACTTATGAATTACAAAATATATATTGTAAAATAAATATTTTTTTTTAAATATAATATTTTCATTATAAATAGTTTATATATATTTAATTAAAGTTTATTATTTATTATAGATATAGTTTTTTATTTAAAAATCAAAGCATTTTTATTAATTATAAAATATGAAAAAGATTTTACTTCGATTAAAAATCTAATAAAATAATAAATATTTTTAAAAATAATAAATAAAAAAAAATTATTAATATTTTTTTTTATTAAAAAGTAATATATAAAACTCATTTATAAAGTTAAATCTAATTTAAGATAAAAAATTTGTTAAAGATTTTTGAAATTTAATTTTAAAAACGAAAAATATGCAAAGAAAAATAAAATATACAATATAAAATTACTTCTATTTTAATAATATAATATTTCCGCAATAAAAGAAAATAAACACTGAAATTAATATAAAAATATACAAATATATTAAAATAATTAAAAATTAAATAACCAAATAAATATATTCAAAAATTGTATTTATACCATTTTCAAACATTATTTAAAACTAACTTTTAAAATGAATAAAAATATTTTATAAAACACAATATTTACATCTTAATTAAAAGAAGCGAATCATATTACTTAAAGTCCTAAATCTTAATACTAAACTTTAAAATAAAAAGATAGCTTTCTCTAAAATAATACTTCAGTTAAATTTTAAGACTCAGGATAAAAAATAAATATAGCATAAAGAAAAGAATAAGATAATTTATCAATAAAATCTAATGAAAACGATGATTACTAATAATTTAATTTTATCTAAATTGCTAAAAAAATGTATTAAAAAAAAATGTTTCATATATTTAATAAAAATCAAAATATGTAGATTATAAAACAATTTAAAAGAAGAATAGAATATTAACTTAGAATAAAAAAAATAAAAAATTTT